CCCGCCACACTATCTGCCGTATCCAGCGGCTTATCACCGCTACCACCACGCGGGCGCCGAATTGTACCCGTCTTATCCGATGCCAGCGTACCCACACTCGTCGCCGGAGCATCATCCGTCAGTCTCCCCGCCTCCACACGCGGCGCTGACCTGTCCAACGATTCAGCGACCAATCGCCAGGAGTTACGCTCACTGGGCCAGCAGTCCGGATCACTGCGGTCTCTCTCCGACCAGCTCCCTCGGGTCCGGTTCGTTGAGGTCACCGCCGCCGGTCACACCGGAAGACCTGTCCTCGCCTGGAAGCGATAGCGGAAGGTCATCGGCGGGAAGCACATCGACGGGACCGACGATCGTTAACCCGAAAATCGAGAAGACAGTGACCAGTGGTTCGACCGTGTCCCTATCATCCAACTCGTCCTCGTCGTCGTCCTCATCGTCGACGTCGCCGAGGTATCAGTGTCCGGACTGTGGTAAATCGTACTCGACCTACTCGGGCCTGTCGAAGCACCAACAGTTCCACTGCGCGGCGGCCGAGGGCCAGGCGAAGAAGTCGTTCTCGTGCAAGTACTGCGAGAAGGTGTACGTCAGCCTGGGCGCTCTGAAGATGCACATTAGGACGCACACGCTGCCGTGCAAGTGCCACCTATGCGGCAAGGCGTTCTCGAGGCCGTGGCTGCTGCAGGGCCACATCAGAACGCACACCGGCGAGAAGCCGTTCAGCTGTCAGCACTGCAACCGGGCGTTCGCCGACAGGAGTAACCTCAGGGCGCACCTCCAGACGCACAGTGACGTGAAGAAGTACTCGTGCACGTCGTGCAGCAAGACCTTCAGCAGGATGTCGCTGCTGACCAAGCACCAGGAGGGCGGCTGCCCGGGCGTAGCCGTGCCGATCGGCTACGGTTGCTGAGTAGAACGTCTTTCTCTAGATCCGTAGCGGTTTATAAACGAAGGAATTACCGTTTTCCTTGCCGTACGTTCCTTTAACTTCGATCTTTCCTCGTTTCTTCTTCTTCTTCTTCTTCTTCTTCTTCTTCTACTTCTTCTTGCTCTTCTTCCACTCATTCTTCTTCTTCTTCTTATTCTGACTTGTCGAGAAGTGCCTTATATCGATCCGGAGTACAAACGACTTAGAAAGTAGGACGGAGGAGAGGGTCGCGGAGTCCCGGGTCCAGTCTCTCGGTTGAATTTCATCGAGACGAGAGAATATCGGAGCCACGCTCCGAGTAGTACCTGGGCTCTCGATTAAAATTCATGTCCCTTCTGTGCGATTGAATTTTAAACGAGATCGATAGACGACCGAGGAACTGGACTCCCTCGCTGCCACGGGGGAGAAGGGTCACGGGAGAGGTTCGATCGGGAGAGATCTCTTGATCCGAGCTACCGATGGTTGTGCATATTATATATATATACATATATATTTTTTTCTTTGTTCTTTTCTTTCTTTTTTTCGGGGAAATTTTCGATGTTCCTCTCTGCGTGGACCCTTCGTTCACCCGGTTCCGTTGTAAATAGTTTCGCGTTGCGTGCGTGCGACGACCAGCGAGAATCCGAGTACGATTCGAGTACTTTTCATACGATGGACGGTTGATCCTTCGGGGTATCGAGGATGTTCGCGATTCGCGTGAAGTCGAGACAGGAAAAAAAGAGTCGAGAAGCGAGACGACCGCCTGACGCGGTCCCGTGAAACTGCCGTGCCATTTTCCTTCTTTTTGTTTCTATATCGCTGTGTTGTTCTCTCTCGTTTCCTTTCCTCTGGATTCGTCTCGGAAATTCGGAGACCGTTCTCGCGCCGCTTTTCGGTTTCCGTTGCATCGGCAGCGTTCGAAAAGATCTTTCGTTCGATTTCCAACTCCCTTCGGCGCGTGCGTCGTCACCCGTGCACCAAAGT